AATTAGAGATAATTTTGGAGATAAATAGGAATTAGAGATAATTTAGAAGATAAATAGGAATTAGAGATAATTTAGAAGATAAATAGGAATTAGAGATAATTTAGAAGATAAATAGGAATTAGAGATAATTTTGGAGAAAGTGGGGCATAGTGGGGGATGTAGTTTAGGAGTAATTTTTAGGAGAAGAGATTATTTAGCTTATTGGGAAAGTGCATCTCATTTGTTGTTTCAAAAATGACATGGAATTAGAAATATAAAAAATTCAAAAAAAGGAGAAAATAGATAAATAGCTTCTCTCAAAGGAGAGACATGCTAACATGGTAGGACCAATTTTAATATATATATAATGTAAAATTAAAAAATAAAAAATAAAAAAAAAACAAAAAGTTAGGAAGATGTGTTTGAAGCAAGGAGAAGTATGATGACATGGATGACTATATATATATATAGAATCCTAACCTAGAGAGAGGGGCTTTGGTTCAACCAGTTTTTTGGTGAATATAATCTTTGCTCAACCGGTTGAAACTTGCCTCCTATAGGCTATAGTTCTTAGATGGTATCACATGTCCAACCAGAGCAAATTGACAATTTGATATCAGACAATAGAATTCAGACTAATCGATTGTGTGTATGCGAACAAAATAATACCGTTGGACGAACAGCAATAAAGCAGATTTAGGCTAAGGAGTAAGCGACACATGGGAGACGATACACAGAAACATTGACTGACCGAGAGAGCGAGAGCAGTGTATGGCTCGGTCCGCTTTCGACGCCTCAATCCTCGATTCTACTTCAAGACTTCTCACATTGTTGGATCTCAACGAAGAAGATCACAGAAAGGTTATATTCATTCTTTTTTTTTTCTTTTATTTCATTGTCTATTCCGATTTTCGTGACATTATTTTATTTTATTTTATTTATTTATATGAATTATYTATTATTAGTTTGATTTAAATTTCAAAATATCTATCAATTATGAATTATCTTTTAAAAATTTTACTTCTGTGATGAAAATTCTATTTCATTTATTTTAATTTATTTTTGTGGATAACGGGTGTTAATTTTGGGCATTATTTGCATATTTTCCCATTCTTCTTCTTCTTCCTCCTTTTTTTTCTTATTTGACCTGGGTTCTGTTTATTTAATATCATAGTTGGGTATATTTTAGATCTAGTCTTGCTTGTCTTGCCAATGTCGATTGATAGTTGGTGCTCATTTTTTTTTTGAGGTTTTTAATTTACAGAAGCAAAATATGGAGGATTTGGACGTTGATCAGATAATTGATGTTCCTGACAATCCTGACAGAATGACAACGCGGAAGAATGGTGAAAAGAATATCGGCTCTTCAGTAGCTGGTAATTCTGTTAATGCTGATTCATTGCGTAAATATGTTCCCAATTTGCTCAGAGGCAGGGGCAAATTGATTACTGAAAATGGGAACAGCAGCAGATCTTATCCACGTTCCCAAAAAGAACTCACATTTACTGATAAAACAGAGCATGGCATTTCCTCCATTTTCCCCTTTTCAGACAATGCAACTGTTTCTAAAAAGTCTCATTTTAGGACTATGATGCCACGACAGACAACTAAGCTTGAGATTAAATCTTCTGCCCAACCTCAACATTCGGTACATGTGCCTTGTAGTTCTCATGGTCGTGGTGACAGTGATTGTCTAGCCGATAGAACTAAGCTTGGTGGTAGGTCTGGTATTCCTGAAGTATTTGTCTCTGATGTCAGAATTCAAGATGGAAGCAGAGGAAAATTAATTGACTTGATTTCAAATGACAAAAGCCCATCATATTCTACCAATCCTAGGAATACAAGAAGGAAGATGCTCTCAGGTGACATGAACTTTGATAATGGGAAGGTTGTCTCCACTGGGACTCCTAGACTTTTTAGTTGCATACCTGAGAACCATGTCCTAGATTTGACCGTCCAGAATGAATTTAGTGCAATACCTGAAAGGGAAGGTAATGAATCAAAATATCTGGCTGAAAAGGTTAGAAAAGGATCAATAGCAGCCAATGGCTGCCCTTCAACTCATGTTGTACGAACCTCTTCAAGAGCATCCAGCAGTGCCTACAAAGGGAAAACCAAATTAGATGATAATACATGTGATGATGATGGGGCAGGTCTGGATTTCATCGAAGCTATTGATTTGTCCAATGATTCTGAATCAAAAACCAAACAAAAGATGCATATATCTCCACATTCTACTTCCTCACCTAGGAAAATTGGGCAAAAGAGGCTTGTACGCAATGGATGCATCTCTCCATATAATATAGCAAAGGCTAAACATACGGCTGAAAGCCTTGGTAAGAGTTCCAGAGGTGCTAAACAGAATGACTTCACTGAAACAGTCTCAAGCAGTGGGACTTCATCTTCTGAAATTCAAATCATTAGCCCCAATTCTGAAGGCAACCATACTGCTAGGATGAAAGGAAAAGGAGTACTTAATGACCAAATTCCAGCAAAGGGGAATGATGGCAAAGCTTTACATTTTCAGAGAAGGTAGCTTCAAACACCAGCATGTCTGACTGTCTTTTGGCCGTTTAATATTTTCTTACATGAATATCAACCAATGCATAACTATTTTTCAGTTAGCAAGCATTCTGTTGAAATTGTATCTGATTCTCTTAGTACTTCTATATTATTTAGTTTTTATCTTTTTTTTTGCTGTCTTTATGAATGGATAGAGTTATTTTTGTTAATTGAGGGAAGTGGCACTCATTCTAAGACACATTTATCTACTACACTTCAAAAACTCCAGAAGCATCTTTTGATGTGCCTAACATACATGGGACATCTAGTTTACCCCACCTCTAACTAATGGTTTTGGTTATTTATGTACATCTGTTTATGTTTAGACATAAATACTCTTCAGCCAACATTTATTTATGTTTACAGCACATTGTTTTTAATTATTTTGATCAATAGCTCACAATTTTCATTATATAAAGGATAAAAAGATACAGAGATACAGATTTAGGGGAGATAAGCTTTCTTAATTCTCCCACCCAAAGACAAAAAACAAAGAGAATAAAATTACAAGATAGCCCAGAACAAGGAGTCCCTAGTTACCCCTTGTTTGGCTAACTCATCGGCAAAGGAATTAGCACATTGTTCAACCAATTGGGTGAGAATTGTGGATGGTTTTGTAGAGTGATAATTGACATTCCTACAGAAAGAAGACAATATGAGCTATGTTGTACTCTATACAAAAACAACATTTAACAGGGAAAACAAACTGGAGCCAGTTTTTATGGAACATCACACACCATTTACATTTCTATGGGACATATGGAAGAAATGGAATGAAATGATTTTTGAAGGACATTCAAGATCACTCCTGCAGGTTTACAGAGGCATTTTCTCATACACTGGGACATGGAGGAGGGGGCTTTTCCGGTGTAAAAAGAATCCAAGACAGAGCAGTTTGATGAAACAGAGACTGGGATAAGATTGTTGGATATTATTCTTGTAGTCCATTGTATACTTTTGTTTACTTTTTATTTGGGGAATTACATTCTTCCTTTTCTGTTTTGATACTTAGTGAGATATATTAGCTATACATTAGCTATCAAATGAGGAAAAGATACAAAATGATAGAAGAGAAGATGCAAGAAACCAGAATAAAATGGGGGCTAACTCTCAACATGAACCATGGACCACCTGCTCCTTTACAAGGATATATAATGCTGCACCCTAAAACACAAAAGACCCCAGAAATCCTCCCATAAAACCTCCCAAATCACCTGACACAAGGCAATGATAAAAAATGCACTTCTAGTTCCAATAGAAAATGCACTACAAGTAGTCTTGAGTAGGCCTCTATCTTGTTTTCTTTGTGGTACATATAATTTAAAAGCATGAATTTGATCTGCATTCTGATATAAGTCTCTCCTTTTGTGCTGTTACAACCTGCATATACCAATAGGACTTCTGTGTTTTGATCCATTTGTCCCATGTTGGTAGTATGGGATGCTAATGTGAGGTATCCCACATTGGTAGTATGGGATGCTGTTGTGGGGTATATATGTGTTTGGGTTCCCTTCCTCTAGCAGCTAGCTTTTAGGGGTGAATTCTCCTAAGGCACATAACAAATGGTATCAGAGCTTACTATGCCTCCCAGTTGCAATCGAGCGGTGCAAGTGGAGGTGCCGGTATTGCAGCGTTAGGCTGGGACTAGGTGGGCTAGTCCAGCCTGCATGGGTGCTGGGACTGTGGAGCGTGGTGGAATGTTATGATCCATTTGTCCCATGTTGGTAGTATGGGATGCTAATGTGAGGTATCCCACATTGGTAGTATGGGATGCTGTTCTGGGGTATATATGTGTTTGGGTTCTCTCCCTCTAATATCTAGCTTTTAGGGGTGAGTTCTCTTAAGGCACATAACATTCTGATATTGCACTGACATGACTATTGTTGTAGTTACACAATTAAATATCACATGCAGTTGGTGGGACATTTGAATTCTTTCAGGTTCCCCAGGCAACCCTTGTCTGCCTCTAAAGAACATGTATAATACAGAATTGAATTGTGTTACTTCTCTGATTCAGAATAACATATTATTGCGAAACTGTAGGCTATTTTTAACTGCCTATTAAACAACTTTGAACATTGAATCTAACTGATAGATGAATTGTAGGTTAACTATGGTTTGCCACTTTTAGATAATTGTTGTTTTTAGTATCTTTTCTTTTTTTTTTAATAAATGATAGAAATTTTATTAGAGCATAATTAAGTATTGCATGATTACAGAGTACATCCAGTGGAGGCGCGAGATGCAGCCCCAGCCATATAAACAGATTACATCTAAGCCCAGAATAATTCAGACTTATGCACCCCCTGTTTTGCAAAGAAATCAGCCATCCCGTTAGCTGATCGCCTTTCCCATTGGACTGAAATTGTCATATCTCTGACCAGCCACTAAAATCTTTTCATATATTCTTTGTATTTCTAAATTACAGTTTCATGTTCCTTCAACCACTCTATTTACCAGTTTAGAGTCACTCTCAATTAACGGTCTATCATAATTTTTAGTATCTTTTCTTGTTACTGCTGATACTCCTGATGGTTGAGATTTGAGATTCACATATGTTCTCATGCCCAACTTCTAGCATTCTGGGAACTACTATAGTTTTTCATTGGTAGCATGGTATGTTTCTGCAGAAGTTCAATAAATCTTGTGGAGGAGGCTAGTCGAGGGAGTGGTGGCACCAATGGAGATGTTTCTCAATCCTTTGAAGAGAGAAGTGTTTGGAGAAGTACACAAAATCCTTTAAGGAAATTATCTTCAGTCATGTTTGATGAGGTTGGACATCTTCCTGGGGATGATAAAAGACATGGAAACAGAATGGAAAATATAAATTATGTAAATGCAGTTAATAATAGTCCTCAGATTACTAATTCTGTTGAAGTCAGGAACCCGGCTACCATGCAGCATGGGGCCACTCAACATTTATCTCAAGCATCTTCAAGTATTATTTTCAAGTCAGATAAGGTAAACAGGAAACTTAATGGAGAAAATAAGCTAATGAAAAGACAAAAGAAACATGGTCCCCATGGTAGTAATACTGGTGACTGCTCTACTTCGACTTTTGATGACTCAGAAGTTGCTTATCTCTGTTCCTCTGGCGAACCTCCTAATGCAAGAACAACCAGAACCCGGAATCCTTGTTGCCGTGGTGCTTCAGGCCCTATAATAGAAATTGATGATATATCTCCAGAAATTAGATGTAGTAATTCTCAAGATGCAAGTCGAGCGGTCATTGATGACTCAGATTCTAGGGCAAGGCAGGTAGAAGCTGATGAGATATTGGCTCACCAACTCCAAGAACAATTTTATAATGAGTTACCAGGAGCTGCTTTTGGAGAGGTTGTTATTCTCTTTATCTGGTTCTAATTTTCTAAGAATCTTTTTCCTTGTATGCAGTGAAAAGTTATCCCTAACCAGTTCCTCTTGTATCTGTCTACCCACCAACAGATTGATGCAGGAATTGTGAGGACTTTGCAACAGGAAGAGGATACACACTTTTCCTCCTTTCGTGGGTCTCGACATTCTTCACATCATGTAAGTGAAACTTTTTACCAATATTTTAAAAAGGTGTTGGAAGAGTATGCCTCCACAGAAAGTGTTAACAAAACACCTGGAGGTATTGCCTCTCATATAGAGGCACATAGAAAAGCGTATTCCTTGTATAAGGTGCATGCTTCTATTGCACCTCCATATGAGAGGCACATGCCATGCATCTCACCCTTTTGACATATTTTATTAAAAGAAAAATAGTGTTATTTTCTCATTTTCCTGCTTTTCCTTTATTTTTGGGAAAACTTCCCTATTTTCTAGTTATTTTGTTTTATTTTATCTATTCTATAGTTAAAAAAATGCTTAGGAGTCTTACACATCTTGTGTTCTGGTTTATGCCTCATACGTCAAGATAGTGGAATGCTTTTCATCATGACTGTGCATTTTAAGACATTGGTTTTAGATGTAATTTCACAGATGAAATGGCCTCAACAACCAGGATCCAACTGAAAGCTACAAACAGCTTTATGTTTATTCATATAGAAAGTTCTTATTTCTTACACATCCTGGAATTTAATGTGCAATTGGAGATCCATGTTAAACATAGAGCTATTAATCATCTATTAAACTATGGCAGACAGTTTTCATAACCTGAAGAACACTTGCTTTGTGATTTTTGACCCAAAAAGGTCCCTAAACCTTTCAGAAGAAATTCAACATTTCCAAAGATAATTGTAATTTTATATGGAATAAGTATAATATAAACACATGAAAGAAACAAGAGAGTCTTTTGCAACAAGACAAAGAGCACTGATGAGGTAGTGTAGCAGGCGGTCAGCAAGCTGATTTCTTGGGTGTCTGTAACTCCTGACTTTAAACACCTGAATGTACCTGATTTGTTTAGGTCCCAGTCCATTTGGAGTCTGTAACTTGGCTTTGTGCCCTGTCTAGTCCTTATGTAGGTAGTTTTTCTGTTGTAACTTGTATTCTCTTAATTACTAAAATCTTACCTTACCTTTCAAATATATATATATATATATATATATATATATAAACACATGAGTTAAATAAAGAGGGATGGTAAAGGATGAATAAGAATAAATGGAAGATAAAGAATATAAGATACAAAGTTCATTTTTTTTCCAATTCAAGCCAAAGATGATTTAACATGTAGAGGAAAAGATATAAAGGGCCAAGGGTCACTGTCCAATGCTAAAAAGCATCTACTAGACATGGGTTTCATATAGAGTGGGGCTAAAGCAAGTGAACTAATTAGCAATACTTGACTTCTGTTGGTTGACCACTTAATTTTACTTGTAACAGTCTTTACCCATTGTTAATAAAATCTGTTAATTTATCAAAATAAAAAAGGAGAATTTATTCCTTGAGTAATTCTTTCCACTTCTTTTCTGTGGATTCTCATTTTGATACCACTGGATGGAGAAATAGGGCTTCTGATTATGTTACATGGATACTAGTATGATTATAGGAATGCAACATGGGTATAGGGTGTTCTATTGGTGAGTTCAAAAAATTGGATATCAGGACTTACTCGACATGCTTTTTATTATGTAATGGTATATTTATTACTAGATAAATGGTGAGATAGTTGTTGAACAAGAAAACGAATTTAGAATCATAAATCAAAGCAAACACTAAGCAAAGCAAGGGGTTAATAGGGAACTTTTATTTTGGGCTCAATCTTTTGATGCAAGCAAGATTTACTTGGTCCAATTTTTAGGAGAATCCTTTCTGCTCAAAGTTGGATAGATTCCTCTTTAACCTAGCTTGGGAGAATCATTGTGGAGACTGGAGATCTGGGGGCTAGAGCTTTACTGAGAGTAACTTCAGACCATTGCCCTATTAAATTGGGTTCCGAAACCTTTATATCAGGCCCCACTCTGTTTAGATTAGAAAACATGTGGTTGACTCATCCAGATTTTGTGAGGGAAATAGGGATGTGGTGGAATGAGGACTTAAGGGGAGTGGAGTGGAAGGGTGTTAAGTTCCATAGGAAATTGCAGAGATTGAAAGATAAGATAAAGGAGTGGAATAGAGAGTATTTTGGGAGTATTCACCCTAATTATTAGTCGTGGGATTAATGCTACTTTCTTAACACTTATCCCAAAGAAGTCAGATGCTATTCACCCTAAAGATTTTAGGCCTATTAGTTTGGTGACTAGTATCTATAAGATTTTAGCCAAGGTCCTGTCGCTGAGAATCAAAGTGGTGCTCCCGTCCATAATTAGTTAGTTCCAAGGGGCTTTCCTCCAGGGTAGACAAATTATCGACCAAATTCTCATTGCAAATGAATGTGTAGAGGATGTGAGAAGATCAAATGGAAGGGGTTTTGTTTGTAAGTTGGACATAGAGAAAACCTATGATTTAGTGGTTTGGAATTTTTTAGTAGAGGTAATGAGGAAATGCGGCTTTGGCATTAGATGGTATAATTGGAACAAGGGTTGCTTGAAATCATGCCATTATTTTGTGTTGGTCAATGGTGGGGTGAAGGATTTTTTCTAGGCAAGAAGAGGCCTGAGACAAGGGGACCCCTTATTTCCTTTTCTTTTTTACTCTAGTGGCGGATATTTTCAGTAGGATTATTTCTAAGGTGGAGAGGGAGAGGGTGAGATTAGGGGCTGGAGGATTGGTCGCAATAACATTGTAGTTTCACATCTCCAATTTGCGGATGACATTATAATATTTCGTGAAAGGGATGGTTTTAGATTGGTAAGGAATCTAAGGGGCTGGTAAAGAAGTTTGAAGGTGTGTCAAATCTGAAAATCAATTTTGGCAAGAGTTGCATAACGAGGGTTAATTTGGAGACAAGAGAACTAGAGGCTATAGTGCAGTGTCTTGAGTGTTCCATTTCTAGTTGGCCTATGACCTATTTGGGGCTTCCACTAGGTGCTAACCCTAAGAGAGTAGGTTTTGGAATCCAATTGTAGAAAGGTGTGCAAAGAGACTTGTGGTGTGGAAGAAGAACTCATCTCTTTGGGTGGGAGAATCATACTGATCGGATCAACCTTGGCAAACTTGCCACTATATTATTTGTCTATGTTTAGGATCCCATAGAAGGGGGCAAAGAGGATTGAGAAAGTGATGAGGGACTTCTTATGGGAACCAGGGGAGGAGAAGAAAGATCATCTAGTAAGATGGGAGTTAGTGACTAAAGGCCTACAGGAGGGAGGTTTGGGTCTAGGTAATGTAATTGAGAAGAACTTGGAGCTTTTAGGAAAATGGGTCTGGAGGCGGCCTTTGGAGAGGGATAAATCGTGGCACGGTTTGATAGCTAACATTCATTTTTTTTTGAGAAAAGTTTAACCAAGTTTCATTAAACTAGAAGGGAATAAAGAGAGGATGTACAAAACAGGGGAGAACCCCAAAGAGATTACAAGGGAGGAATTCTGTCACTGTACAAATTTTCTAAGCGAGCACTTAGCTTGGCTAAGCCATCTGCAATAGGATTTAACTCCATCGGGATCCAAAACAGATTTGCATTTAGACAATTCAAGGAGTCCCTTGCTTCTTCCAGGTAATGGTTCAACCTCCAAGGACCCCCTTCCTTATTCTTTAGCCATTTGATGGTATTTGCTGAGTCCCCTACTATGGAGAGATTCTGAATACCCAAACGTTTTGAAGGGATGAGAGATCCATCCTATGGACGCCCAAAGATTGCGGAATAAGGGGGCGAATTTCAAAAAAGTTTTCTCTCCCTTCAACTGGGAATCGCATTCCCTATTTAGAAAATCATTTTTTCAAGGATCATTCTTGAACCTTAAACTGAMTCAGATCTGAACCAAAAGGAGTAGGAGAGAATTATACCTGATACAAAGAAGTAGTATCTCCCAATGGAGGTGTTCACGCCCAAGGAAGGATCCAAAAACTGCTCCCACTGAAGATGGCGCAGTGCAGGA